TGGTATATGAAACCTAGGATTGACAAACCTATAGAAAAAAAACTAGAATATGGGTTCCTGGGGTATATGCTGGGGAAGGTATGGAGGGGTGGGGGCTGATAGCAAGGAGTTCAAGCAGGAAGGAAATGTGTTGAAACGGATTGTGGTAGCAATTGCACAACACTGCTTGATGTGTATGGGAAGTTATGATGTCTAGATTAGCTCCTAATAAAATGGTTTGGGAAAAAAATGTAGAGATGACGTGGCACTGACAAAGCAAAAGAAAGACAAGGTTTGGTAAGAGGCTGGAGTCCTTACCCCACTGTTAGAAATACAAGGGATAAACATCGATACATAAAGAACAGCAGTTTTGTTTCATTGCAGTCCCTCCCAACCTCTCTTGCCCTGTGTTAAGAGCCTTCCTTTGGACAATGAGCTAATTCCACATTGACATGCGGTCTCTCAGGAGGCATGAGAGTAAAGTGATTTGCATTGGGAAACACACAGGGGTGTGTTCACCTCGTCTTGCTTTATTTAATAACAAATAATTAAATGTTTTGTTTAATAAAAAAATAATTTTGAAAATAAGATAGGCACAACAGGACTGGTTACAAAAGATCCACAACAAAGGTTGCACTCACAATAACAGCGAATGTGTACGCATTCTTCAGAGTGCAAAGACAGAGTTCTTACCCGCCATTGCTCCGAGTCCCACAACAACCCTCAGTCGTCTAGCCATGGGCGTGGGTACTCAGGCTGAGCTCAGTGCCACTTAGGCATTGCCTGGCTTTGGACAGGTAGAGGAGCCTTGGCAGCATAGTGGTTACACGTTGGGCTTTGCAAGGTGAGCAGTTCAAATCCACCAGCTGCTCCCCAGGAGGAAGTTCCACCCTGTCTCACAGGGGCGCTGTGAGTTGGCGCTGACTCCATGGCAGTGAGTTTGGGAGTTGGACGGGTCACGTACTCCTGTTGGCTTTAGTTCCCTCATCTGAAAAGTGGGAACAATGATGGCACAGACCTTGTAGAGCTGTCAGGA